CCTCCACAGATGCTGCCAGACCTGCTGAGCTTTTCCACCAACTTTGTTTTTGTTGGCTCTACAGAAAATTTGAAGAAGGATGTCTTGCTATTTCGTGATGAGAATTTTAAAATTTTATGTATCATGTATAAATACAATATTTTTCTCAAAACAAAAGGGCGTCTGAGTTAGAGATGCTGATTTCTGTAAGTCTCGAACAGAATTTTTAAAATTCAACTGAAAACCCAAATGCAGCATGTATCTTATTGCCGTACTATTTATTGTAAAGTGCCACGGAATAGCCCAAGGTGCTACTGAATACAAACCTTTTCTTTTTGAATATTTTCTATCAACCTGTTTGGAGATGCTGAGATACACCTCTGGAGCAGGTGGGACTTGAACCCAGTCCTCCTGGCTCAGAATTAGATAACTACACCACAAAAGTCCAAGCTCAAAGAGGTTTTAATGAAATTAACCTGTTGATATTTGTCTCAGCACACCTCCTGGAGCAGGTGGAACTTGAACATGCGACTTCTGGGCACAAAAGCCTCAAATTTGAGCCTATCGCCTTAAGTTGGTTGAGGTGATAGTCATCAGACTTTGTTTTAAAGCCAAGTTGTTGTATTTTGATTTACTCCCCACCCCCTCTCCCTCATCTTTTGTGTTATTGCATTGCCTTTAATGGGCTTTGAATGTAAAATAATCGATTGGAACATGTGATCTAGTACTGTTAGTTAATAGATTAAAAATAAAATGAGTGATTTGATGGTGGAGAGAAAAATCATTCAGTTGTGTGAGATAACACTTGTGGATATAAGAAGAGAAAGAGACTGAGTTGCTGTCCCTACCTCTGGGCCAGGGGACCTAGGTTCAAGTCCCACCTCCTCCAGAAATGTGTAATAATATCTCTGAACAGTTTAATTAGAAAACATTAAAAGACTGAGTTTGGGGTGTTTGCTTCTGGACGGAAGGGGTCCAATTGAAACTGTTCTAAATCTCTGAAGATCTTTTGGCTATTTCAGCATCTAGATGTCAGTGTGTGTGTAATGAATAAGACGAGAAGATTGAAATATGTAGAAGTGAAATAAAAAATGAGATAATTTCCAGTCAACATAAGATGGATGCAGAGGTATTTTAGGGATACAGGAGTGCAAGAATAATATAAGTTGCGACCCTTTGAATTAAAGGGTCACCTCCTACTTGAGAGTAAAAGTGGAGATGTTTGAATATTCTACTTCACTTATTACGGAAGAGATTAAAAGTGGTGTAACTGAATTAACTGAAGAGGATATGGAATAGATTATTGGGATAAATATGTTACATAAACTATTGAAGTTATTGGGACCAATTGTAAAGAAGTCATTTGGCTTGAGGGGTTTTGAGGCCGAATTAATCACTGTAGTAACTGTTAACTTTAAAAACAAGCTGAAGGATTCAAGCTTATACATTTTTAAATTATTGTTTCTTCTTTTATAGTCCAAATGCTGTATTAAGGTTGCGATTTAACCATTTTGCTACAGAATGTAGCTGGGACCATATGTATGTATATGATGGTGATTCAATATATGCACCTTTGATAGCCGTATTCAGGTAAGTTTGAGGATCTTTCTATCCCAACTGAACGTGTGTGTGTGTGTGTGTGTGTGTGTGTGTGTGTGTGTGTGTGTGTGTGTGTGTGTATAGTTTACTTGCAGTATTAATGTGAACATGTTTAACATGGTTGACATTCCTGTGGGAGTAAATTACTACAGATGCTAGAATCTGTACTGAAAACACAAGAAATGCTGGAAATCACAGCAGGTCAGGCAGCATCTGTGGAGAGAGAATAAGCTAATGTTTTGAATCTAGACACGGGGGGGCGGGGCGGTGGCGGAGGTGGGGTGGGAGAGGAGGTAATTCATGACTCGGCGAAAATATATCTCGGTGAGGAGAAAAGATTCTAACAGAGGGTTAAACAAACAGAAATGTCAGCTTTCCTGTTCCTCTGATGTTGCCTGGCCTGCTGTGTTCCTGCAGCACCACACTTTGTTATCTATGGCTAACTAAGGAAGTCAAGGAGAGTATGAAGTTGAAAACGTAAAGCATATAAGGAGGCCAGAGTCAGTGATAGCCTCAAACTAGATAAATTCAGAATCCATCAAAGGTGGACGAAAGAGATAATAAAGACAGGCAAAATGAACTATGTGGGCCAATTAATGAGGAATATAAAAGCTGACAGTAAGAGCTTCTCTAAATATACAAAAGGTAAGAGGAAGGTCAAAGTGAGCATAGGCCCCTTGGAAAATGAATCTGGGGAGATGGTTTTGGGGAGCAAGAAAATTGCAGAGGAGTTACACATATTTTACACATGTTTTTATGTTTTGAAGGTATTTCAAACATTCCATTAATACTAAAGAATATGGGGAAGGAATTAAATACCATCACTAGAGAAATAGTATCAGACAAACTAATGGAACTAGAGTCAGATAAGCCCCCTGACCCTGATGGTTTGCATCCTAGGATCCTAAAGAGTTAACTACAGAGATAGTGGATTCATTGGTTTTAATTTTTCAAAAATCATTGGATTCTGGGGAAGTACCAGAGGATTAAAAACTGCTAATGTGACACCTCAATCATAAAGGGGAGGGAGGCAAAAAGTGGGTAATTATCAGCAAATTAGGTGAACATCTATTGTTAGGAAAGCATTGGAATTGACTATTAGGTCGGATTTAGCAGAACATTTGGAAGATCAAAATCTAATTGGTTTCACAAAATGGAAATAGTGTCTGACTAATTTTTTGAAGAAGTCTCAGCCAGAGTTGAGAGGGGAACCAGTCAGTGTGTTGCTTTGGACTTCCAGAAGGCATTCAACAAGATAACTCACAGTGGCTTAAGGCATAAGATAAGAGTCAGTGGTGTTGGAAGTATTATTGGCATGGAGAGAAAATTGGCTCGTGGGCAGGAAACAGTGAAATGTGATAAGGGGACAATAAGGACTGCAAATGCTGGAAGCCAGAGTTAATAGGTGTGAGCCTGGAAAAGCACAACAAGTCAGACAGCATCTGAGGAGCAGGTGAGTCAGTGTTTCAGGCTGAAACCGTTTGTCAGGACTGGGGAGGGGGAGGGGGAGGGGGAAGGGAGCCCAGAAATAAATAGAGGGAGGGGGTGGGGCTGGAGGAAGGCTGTGAGAGATGGTGATAGGTGAATGCAGGAGAGGGTTATTGTGATTGGTCCATGAGAAGGGTGGAGCAGATAGGTGAGTAGGAAGATGGACAGGTTAGGTCAGGTCAGGAAGGGGAGGACTGGACATGGGATAAGGCTGAAGGTGAAGAGATTTTGAAACTGGTGAAGTCCAAAGTTAAGGCCATTGGGCTGTAAGCTTCCAAGATGAAATATCAGGTGTTGTTGCACCAGTTTACGTTTGGTCTCATTCTGACACCATTCTCCGGGATCAGCCCAACACCATTGACCATGTGGGTGCTCCAACCACTCCTAACAACCGCGTGACTGCCACTTTTGCCGACCTCGGTGGCAATCGTGTTACTTCTGCTTCCGTCCATGTGACGGCTCCAGTGCACACACCCACTCCTGATTAAGTCACCACCGCCGTTCCTGGCCCCAGCTCTATACCTGGCCCCAGACCCAAGCCCTGCCAGGTACTCACCATTTCCCCTGCATCTCCCTTTCTCTGAGGCTGAACGGTCAGTCCTTAGCAAACTGCTCACCTTCATTCCCCTGTGCCCCCACATAAACGAGTTCAGCGTACACCGTGATATTGGGCTCTTCTGCCGCCTCCACCCCTACTTCTTTGAATGGGAATCCAACCCATCCACTAACAACCCCTTCTCCCACCTCCAGCAACTCCATCCTCCTGGACACCCTGTCCCAGCCTTCTACCTTCCCTCGACCTCTTCATTTAAAACTGCTACCGCGACATCGCTCACGTGGATCTCGATGCTCCTCTCTCCATCGGAACGGACAGCCCTCCTCTCCTTTGCTTCAAGCTCAACCTCACTATTAAACCCGCCGACAAGGGGTCACAGTGGTAGTATAGCATAATGACTTCTACGTTGCTGAGGCCAGATGCCAACTCTCTGACATCTCCTCCTACCATCCCTTTGATCATGACACAACCTCTGATCACCAAGCCATCATCTCCCAGACCATCGACAATCTCATCACTTCACACTTCTCCCGTCCCCAGCCTCTAACCTCCTAGTTCCCCAACCCCTTACTGCCCATCTCTATCTCTTGTCCAAAATCCATAAACCCAATTGCCCCAGTTGATCCATTGTTTCTGCCTGCAAATGCCCTACCGAGCCCATCTCCTCCTACCTTGACTCCATTCTTTCCCCGTTGGTCAAGGAACTCCCTGCCTATATTCGTTTCACAACCCACGCCCTCCATCATTTTTCAAAACCTCAATTTCCCTGGCTCCCAACACCACATCTTCACCATGGATGTACAATCCCTGTACACCTGTATCCCCCACACAGAGGGTTTAAAAACCTCTGCCTCTTCCTCTCCTGTAGGCCCACCCAGTCCCCCTCCACTGACACTCTCATTTGCTCGGCTGAACTGGTCCTCTCTCTCAACAATTTCACGCTCGATTCCTCCCACTCCCTGGCCATGGGCACCTGCACCAGGCTGAGCTATGCCTGCCTTTTTGTAGGATTTGTGGAACAGTCCCTCTTCTGCAACTATGCCGGCACCATCCCTCACCTCTTCCTCCGCTTTATTGATGACTGCATCAGTGTGACCTCATGCTCCTGTGAGGAGCTCGAGCAGTTCATCAACTTCACCAACACCTTCCACCCTGCCCTCAAATTCACCTGGACTATTTTTGACACCTCCCTCCCCTTCCTGGACCTCTCAGTCTCCATTTCCGCAAACCAACTCTCCACCGATATCTATTTCAAATCCACTGACTCCCACAAATACACGACTACACCTCCTCCTCTCTCCCACCCTCCTGTAAAAATGCTATCCTGCACTCCCAATTCCTCTACCTCCATTGCATCTGCTTTGAGGATGAAGTATTCCACTCTAGGAGGATATCTGGGATACCCTACTTCAGGGGCTGTGATTTCCCCTCCTCTGTAATTAAGGATGCCCTCAATCGCATCTCCTCCATTCCCACAATTCTGGTCTCAAACTGCGCCCCAAATTCTGCCCCCCACCCTCCCAACAGCAATAAGGATAGAGTCCCCTTCGTCCTCACATTCCACCTCACCAACCTCTGGATCCAACGCATCATCCTCGTACACTTCTGCCTACTACAATCAGACTCCACGACTAAAAGATATTTCCCTTCCCTCCCTGTCCGCTTTCTGCAGGGACTGTTCATTCCGTGACACTCTCATCAGCCCTACACTCCCCACCAATTCCTCCACCACACCGTGTACCTTTCCCTGCAACTGCAAGAGGTGCAACGCCTGCCCGCACACCTGCCCTCTCATCTCTGTCCAAGGCCCAAAACAATCCTTCCAGATCCAGCAGAGATTCACCTGCACTTCGTCCAACCTAATCTATTGCATGCATTGCTCCTGATGTAAATGCAGACTCGGGGTCCGGTTTGTGGATCATCTGTGCTCTGCATGCATTACACTTCCGGTTGCCATCCATTTTAATTCCCCCTCCCACTCCCCTGATGACATGTCTATCCTTGGCCTCCTCTACCATCAGAGTGAGGCCAGACGTAAACTGGAGGAACAACACTTGATGTTTTTCCATGGAAGCTTATAGCCCAATGGCCTTAACATTAACTCTGCCAGTTTCAAATCCCTCCATTCCCAGCCCTATCCCACGTCCAGCCCTCCCCGCTCCTGTCCTGACCTGACCTAACCTGTCCATCTTCCTACTCCCGTATATGCTCCACCCTTCCCATGGACCAATCATAATAACCCCCCATCTGCATCCACCTATTACCATCTCTCCTACCCTACCCTTCCCTTTCCCTCTCTCTTTTATTTCTGCCCTCCCCAGTCCTGACAAAAGGTTTCGGCCTGAAACGTTGACTTACCTGCTTCTCGGATGCCATCTGACCTGCTGTGCTTTTCCAGGCTCGTAGCTGCAGATAATGGAGATGAGGGAATCTTTTTCAGCTTGGCGATCTGTGACCGGTGGGGTTGCACAAGGGTAAGTGCTGGGACCCAACAGTTTACAATATATGTTAATGATTTGGAGGACAGAAGTGAATGTACTGTAGCCATATTGCAGATAGCACTAAAATAGATCGAAAGGGAGTTTGGGAGGGATACAGTTTAGAGATTAAGGTAGGTTAAGGAAGTGTGCACAAAATTGGCAAATGTAGTATAATGTGGGGAAAATGCAAAGTTATTCAGTTTTGAAGGCAGAATAAAAGAATAGAATATTATTTAAACAGAGAAGAGCTGAAGAAAGCTGCAACGCAAAGGGACATGGGGTTTCTTGTGCCCAACACACAGCTGGCACATTGATGCAGCGGTTAATCAGGAAGACTCATGGAATCAGAGATAGTAGGAATTGCAGATGCTGGAAAATCTGAGATAACAAAGTGTAGAGCTGGATGAACACAGCAGGCCAAGCAGCATCATAGGAGCAGGAAGGCTGGCTGTTATTTCAAGGGGGTTGGAGTTCAAGAATGGGGAAGTTTTTACTGCAACTGTACAAGGTGTTGGTGAGGCAACATTTGGATGACTGAGAACAGTTTTGGTCCCCTTATTTAAGGAAAGGTATAGTTTCATTAGAGGCAGTTCAGAGAAGGTTCACAAGGGTGATCCTTGGTGCGAAGGTATTGTCTTATGAGCAAAGGCTAAACGGGCTGGTACTGTATTCATTTGAATTTAGAAGAATGAGAGGTAATCTCATTAAGATTCTTAAGATCTTTTTTAAAAAAAAAAAAAAAATCACTTATGGGATGTGGGTGTTGCTGGCTGGCCAGCATTTAATGCCCACCCCTAGTTGCCCTTGGAAAAAGTGGTGGTGAACTGCTTTCTTGAACTGCTGCAGTCTGCATGCTCTGGGTTGACCCACAATGCCATTGGGGGAGGGAATTCGAGGATTTTGACTCGGTGACAGTGAGGAAGGGCGATATATTTGCAAGTCAGGATAGTGAGTGGCTTGGAGGGAAACTTGAAGGCGGTCGTGTTTCCATGTATTTGCTCATAGAATCATAGAAGATCATAGAATCCCTACAGTGTGGAAACAGGCCCTTTGGCCCAACGAGTCCACGCCGACCGTCGGAGTGTTCCACACAGACCTACCCCCGCTTAACCCACCTAATCTACACATCCCTAAACACTATGGGCAATTTAGCATAGCCAAACCACCTAGCCTGCACATCTTTGGACTGTGGGAGGAAACCTGAGCACACAGAGGAAACCCTGACATGGGGAGAATGTGCAAACTCCACACAGACAATTGCCTGAGGGTTGAATTGAACCTGGGTTCCTGGTGCTGTTAGACAGCAGTGCTAACCACTGAGCCACCGTGCTGCCTGCCCTTGCCCTTGCTGCTATCCTTGCCCTTCCAGATGGGCATGATTGTGAGTTTGGAAGGTGCTGTTGGAGGATCTTTAGAGAATTTCTGCAGTGCACCTTATAGATAGTACACACTGCTGCTGCTGAACATTGGTGGAGGAGGGAGTGGATGCTTATGGTTATGGTGCCAATCAAGTGTGCTGCTTTGTCCTGGATGCTGTCAAGCTTCTGGAGTGTTGTTGGAGCTGCACTTGTCCAGGCAAGTGGGGCGTAATTCCATCTCACTCCTGATTTGTGCCTTGTAGATGATGGACAGACTGTGGGGAGTAGGAGGAGAGTTGCTTGTTGTAGTATTGCGAGCCTCTGACCTGCTGTTGTGGGCTAAATACTGAGGCAATATTTCCCCTCCATGGGAGAGTCTAGGACCAGACGGCATAGTCTCAGAATAACCAAGTGATAATTTAAGATCGAGATGAGGAGGAATTTCTTCTCTGAAGGTTCTCTCATTTTGGAGCTCCTTGTCGCAGATTGGTGGGGAGAGTCCTTGTGTATAGTTAAGACTGAGATAGATGATTCCCCTACTTATCAAGAATCTAAGGATTACCAGGAAAGGGCAGAAAATGGATATGAGGAACGTTGGATCATCAATGATTCTATCAAATGGCAGACCAGGCTCAAAGGGCCAAATAGCCTACTCCTGTACCTATTTGTTATGTTCTTATGGTCTTCGAATGCAAGGTTGGAGGTGCTATCTTTTGTCTGACAATTTAAACCAAGGATTCCTTGAGCACCATTTAAAGTCGGTCAGTAGTTATGAGCCATAGAATCATACAGCACGGAAACAGACCCTTCAGTCCAACTCATCTGTGCCAACTCGTTTTCCAAAGTTGACTGGACCCATTTGCCTGCATTTGGTCCATATCCCTCTAAATCTTTCCTGTTCATGTACCTGTCCAAATGTCTTTTAAATGTTGTGACTGTACCTGTATCTACCGTTCCCTCTGGTAGTTCATTCCACTTACGAACCAGCCTCTGTGTGAAAAAGTTGCTTGTCGAGTCCCTTTTAAATCTTTCTCCTGTCACCTGAAAATTATGCCCTCTAGTTTTGAACTCCGCTACCCTCGGGAAAAGACCTTTGCTATTCACCTTATCTATGCCCCTCATGATTTTATCTCATTGGAGTATGGGAAGCAAGTTCCTGTTTTATTGCTTGAAGTTGCTTGTATAATTTTAAAATGCATGAAAGTGTCGATGTGAAGATTGCAAATTGATGTCTTTGTATTTATCACTTTCAAAATGTGGATTTTCTGTTGCATATTTTTAGTTTTTAATGTTGAACATTCAAAATTTGGAGAAATATAAAACTTGCCATTCCTCCTTTCTCTGAACATCTGAAGCAAGATTTTTTTTGACCAATGGTACAGACTAGAATTTGAAAGTGGGTCTTGGTGCTGTATAATTCTGTAGGAAGAACAAGAAATGCTGCTGTTCAGTTTCTGGTTTTGGTTAGATTGACAGTTGCCGACAAAATCTTTCTTAACTGCCTGTGCTTCTACTCAGCTTTACTTCAACTTACACTGTGATGACCGTAGAAAGTGTTTAATGTTTGCATGCAGATGGTAATAATTCCTCTTATCAGTTTTAAAATACTGTATTGGCTTGAGAAACCAGTTGAGTTCATTAAAATATTCCAAAGATAAGTTATATCATTCTCTCTCCCTTCAAATCTGCACACTGTTTCTATGCAGGTATCATTCACTTTTTCTTTCCTAAAGCACATTCTGTGCTACCACCTTGATTTTTGAACAGCAGCTTCTGCATGCGAGGGAAAATTTTGTATATATTTCATGGTTTTTTGAAATAGGGCTTATTCTCAGTTTGGTTGGAATCTTCTGTCATGGATTCTAATGTCAGGCATGTTCGAGTTCATCTGAGTCTTGGGATGAGTGTTTCATGCGATTATGCACCTTTTAGTTCATAATGCAGGCATGTGAGTTGTGTAAGTTGAACAGTGAATCTAATGGGAAGAAAGTTCTTGTCCTTACCAGGACCTTCTGGGATAAAAGATTTAGATGCCATATTTAAAAGCCATCTAGACAGTCCTTCACCTCCATAAAAGCTGGCAGTATGACAGAAGGCTGTGTTAGTCACCAATGCTGTGCCTGCCCTGGAGATGTTTGGACTGATATTGCACTTTCAAGAGTGGATGAAGGTTCTTGTCTCTGTGTGGTTTTAGCTACCAGCGAAGCCCTCATTCATTCCTTTCTTACCTCTAACCATCATTATTTCAATGTGCCCGTGATTGGTGTCCCAAATTCTACCCTCCCTTAGGTGCGTCCTCCAAAACTCTGCCTGTGTCTTAACTCCTAACAAGTCCTGTTCCCCTTTTCAGTCCTGTGGTTGCTGGCCTACTTTGACTCCTGGTCAAGCATTATTGATTCTTTTTTTCAAATTACTTCCCCTGTTTTCATATCCACCATGACATTGCCCTTTCTTATCTCTGTAATATCCTACAGCCCTCAACACTCCAAGACATCTGCACTCCTCAAAACCTGGCCTCTTGTGCATCCCCAATTACAATTCCTCCACTGTTGATGGCTTTCACTTAGCATGGTCCAAGTTTTAGAATTCTCTTCTGCTCCATTTTGCTTTTAAGAAGTTTTTTGAAAATGAAAGTAACTGGTGACTAAGTTGATCGTAAAACCCAAAAGAAGTGCGGATGCTGTAAATCAGGAACAAAAAGAAAGTTGCTGGAAAAGCTCAGCAGGTCTAGCAGCATCTGTGAAGGGAAAAAACAGTTAACATTTTGGGTCCGGTGACCCTTCTTCAGAACTAAGTTGATCATCTCAGTTAATATCCCATCCTTTAGTTTGATGTCATACTTAGTTTTATAATGCTCTTGTGAGGTGATTTGAAATGTTTTGCTATGTTAAAATTGCTTGATAAATAAAAGTTGTCTTTGTGTTTATCTCTCATAATAGAAGTTCTGACAAAAACCAAATATATTCACTAATGCTGAAACATAATTCATAATTGAAACTATGAATTGCTTTATGACATTTTGTAAACTTGATAAAGATTACTGTTTTTGGATTAATATGTTTTAGCGAGTGTCTCTTATAGTGCTTTTATTTCCTCTTGATGTTGATATACTTTTTCATTTCCCACAGTGGTCTGATAGTTCCAGAGCTGCATGGGAATGAGACTGTACCTGAAGTAGTTACCACATCTGGTTATGCATTGCTGCACTTTTTTAGTGATGCTGCTTATAACTTAACTGGATTTAATATTTTTTATTCGTGAGTACTATTAAATACTACATTTATACTTTTGAACATTGTGATATAATTAGAATTCTATGACTTCAGATAAACAATCATGATTTTAAAAAGCTGGCATTCGTCAGTTGTATCTGTGTATTTTGTCATTCGTGCGATAGTGGAAACTAATGCATGTAACTGTTTAGCAAGATGAAGGTGGTCGGAGATGTATGTAGTATGTGCTTTTTCTTAGTGTCCACGCCTCTGTTCTAATTTTGTATTAAAAGTGAAATATTGGTGTCTGGAAAGAACTGTAAAATGCTGTCCATAGTCAGAATCTTCCCAGGTGTGGTAATCATCATGAATGCCATTGTGCATTATTTTTAACCTTTCTGCACCACTATTGAGATCTGTATTTCTGGATGGGATTTCCGTTGCTGGCTTCTTCAGAACTGTGGAATGTATTTGAAATCCAACTGCTTTTGTCAGGGGAATCAACCTTTTTATGGTACTGTTGCTGTGTTCTGGTAGGCACTTACTGATGTGCTAAAAAGCTTTGAAATATTTAAACAGTATTTCATTGTGACGGTGAATGAATATATAAGAGAACAGATGGGATGGGAATGTGCGTGTGTTAAGTGGAAAGATTGGCAAATGGATGAGGTGGCATTTGGCTCGGGGGTACATGGCTGTAAATTTATCAGGAGCTAGACTATGACCTTTTATGCCTAACATTTCCTGAGTAATAATCCAGTTAACTAAGTTGGAGCTGCCTGAAGTGTCTCATTCTAATTCAGAAATGGAGTCTTTTACTAAGTTTAAACTTTGTAGGATTATATGGGAGGGAGTATAGTGCAGGTTTATAAGAATGATAATTTAACCCCTAAAGTCTAATTATGAGGGGAGATTGTACAAATTAGGCCTATTTTTCTCTAGAATTTAGAAAGTTAAGGCATGATCCAGTTGAAGCCTTCAAGGCATTAACAGGAAAAGACAGGGTAGATAAAGATAAACTGTTTCCACTGGTTGGGATTTCTAGAACTAGGGGACGTAGTCTGAGAATTAGGGCTAGATTGTTCAGGAGAGATGTTACGCATTGGAACTGTTTTCCACAAATGGCAGTGGATGTTGGAGCGGTTGATAATTTCACATCTAAGATAAATTTTTGCTATGCAAAGGCAGGTAAATGGAGTTAGGCCACAGACCAGTCATGATCTCATTGAATGATGGAATAGGCTCTAGGGGGAAAATGGCCTACGTCTGTTCTTTTTATTTTTAATTCCCATGAGCTGTTGGTTTGTGATGTCCATGGGATCCTGATGTGCATATCTGGTCAGACATCTTTTCTTCAAACCTTTCAGAGCCCGGAACATCTGGGTGACTGTATGTTGACTGGTAGGCTGGGAAATAATTCATTTTAATCAATCTCTTGAACCTCTCAAACTTTGTTTGCAGAAGACTAATACCTAGATGTGAATCCTACCGATGTTCATTGACACCATTGCCCATATGTCAGATGGATGTCTATTCAGTCACCCAAGTATAATTTGCCAATACAAGCTATTTTTGACTTTGGTTTATTCACTGTTGAAAATACAATAATTCTAGTCTCCCGTAATTAATTTCTCTAACATGAAAATGGTGTCTCTCTTCTCTCAGCATTTTATAATTTATGAAAACATAATATTGAGTAGTGGGGAAAGGGGGTGCAGTGCATAGGTCCCAATAGTTAAATGGCAGTCACATTAATAGTTGAATAAGGCATAATTTTCAAGGGCAATGTAATGAAGAAAATGTTTCCCCCCCCCTGCCCCAGCTTTTGCAAGCTGAGAGGAATCAGGATTACCATATTCAATCAAAGCAGTTAGTGCACAAATGAGCTGAAGTGACCAATCAAATAAATTATTTTCAGCACCATATATTGATAATTGTAGTGAACAGGATATTTTAATTGCTTTCAGGAAGGGAATTCATCCTGTGCTCACGAGCAAACAAACTGATTACTGGTTTGGAGATGCAAGATATAGACACAGTCACTGTATAAAAAACTTTTTAAATAAATAAAGATATCTGTACTTTTGTAGTGTAGTGGCTATCATGTTCACCACATAAAAAGTCGGTTAATACAGTTGGGGATGAAACACACGTGTCTTGTACCACAGTGGTAACGTCTCTACCTTTGGACTGGAAGACCAGTTCAAATTCTACCTGCTCCAAATATGTGTCCTAACATGTCTGAAGTGGTTGATTTGAAATTATTGACAAAAATTTCAGTCCTGTGATTAATCCCTCCGTGCCTTGCTGGTTTATGTTTTAATACATAACAGCAATTTTTAATTTTTGTAACTTGAATCATTAGAAACTAAATTTTGGCAAAGGAATCTGATCAAGAAAAGTAAAGTTGAAACTGACGAGATTTATGGAACTGAGTTGAACATAATGTAATTGAAATAAAAACTTGCATTTATATGAGCTATTTGCAACTTCAAGGTTTCCCAAAATATTAGCCATTTGAGTAATTGTTTAAGCTTAGTCACTTGTGTAATTTTGGAAAATGCTTTGGGAATAACAATTTGATGACACATTTTTCAAGTAATTCTGTTTGAGGGATTAGGACCAGAATATTTGGAGCAGAAGGTAGGCCATTTGGTGTTTTTGAGCCTGGTCCACCATTCTTGTTAGATCATGGGTGATCTGGTTGTGGTTTAATCTGCATGGATTATTGCTCGTATCACCTGGAGGTTTATCACTTTGAAAGGTTAAGTGCAACTGGTTGTTCACACAGTATGAAGATGGAAATCATTGGATTCTTAATGAACTAGATTTATCCAGTCCTGAGACATTCTCTGAGTGGAGAGATGTTAATGCTATCCCACGTAGCATCACTGTGTAAAGTTTATAGCAGCCATTCACCAGAGTGTTGTGACTGGGGATAATTATGTTATGAATTAGCTGCAATTCTATATAGCTGGATTTATTTCAGCCATTCATGGGAATACTGTCAAACATCTAATCTAGTTGTCTGGATGGTTGCATCCTTAATTTGGGCTTATTTTGTCGAATACAATGGAACTTGGTTCAGAGTTGTTTAGGCATTTGGTAATATAAAACTTGTGCTGGAGAAAATATTTATTGGAGATTTACATGTTGCACTAATCAGGACATTCTCAAAAATATCAATTTAGCTGGCAACAGCATTTACAATGACCATGTTCCCTGCCATATTGGTATTCTTATGAATGTCCTGATGAGTGCAAGGTGAAAAGTCTTGAGAAAATGTCCCTTTGCAATTTTATTTAAGATTTAGATTTAAAGTCGTTACAGTTTTCAACCAAATTATCAGATTGGTGTTGATATAGAGATCAAGTTTCAATATTATATGTTGCTTTTAAGAATATACACATTCAAACACTTCACCACTATTAAACCTTTGAAGTTTTTTACTGCTTTAGTTTGATCAGACTTGGCTTAACTAACTGTTATTTTTTGTTTATTGTATGTTATAGCTACAGATTTTGTTTCAATGTGCATTGGTAAACATCTAGAATTTTTTCAAGTCTTAAAGTATTGCTGAAGAAAATAACATCAATCAATCTCTCTGTTATGCAGGCCACAAGGAAAGGGAGCTACCAGGGGCCAATGAAAAATCAATTTTACAAGATTCTAATTGTGCATGTTCAGCTTCAGCAGGAGTGTATTTTAAAAGGTCAAATATTACTTTTTGTGCAACCATTTTGTAATCAAGTGACTTGTGTTTGTCAGTTTTTATTTTGAGGAAGCGTATTACAAATAAGTCATCTGTCAAGCTAAAATATTTTCACTAAATCATCTTGTGGAAAAATGTAATACTACAAGCCAAATTTCAGGATACTGAATTCAAAATATCATTAATAAAACAATGAACATTTAAAAAAAAAAAAAGGTAATTTATTATTATGAGTTGCATCAACCACAGATATCTACCTGGAATCAGTGTCAGTTGTTTATTATCGAGGATGAGTTCCATACCTCCATGCCCACTTAGCTGCGGAGCCTAGGATTATAGTTAAACACTGTTTTCTACTTTGGACAATCTGTTATTCATTTTGATTCAAAAGCTGCTTTCGCCTACAATAGACAGAATAACACTGAGTCATGTTTAGACCTCTTGATGCATCCCATTAAAATTCGGCTTATGCTGTTTCAAAATAATGCCAACCATAGATCTGTAGGTAGCATTTTTGCCTGTGAGTTAGGTTGTACTGTGCGAGTGTTGCACTGTTGAGCATACCATATTTCAGATGAGAAGTTTAAACTTCATGCTGATGAGCTGTCTGCCTTGTCAGTTAGCTAGGAAAAATCTAGTGCCAATTATTTGGAAGAGTGGCAGAGAGTTTCTTCTTGGTGTTTTGCTCAATATTTTACCTCAACTAACATCACTAAATCAGACACTGTGGTTTATAGTGCATTGCTATTGGAAACTTGGTTTGGCTGTTGCATCCAATATGTTATAACAGTGGTGACAATTTAAAAATGTTTCACTGACTAAAATGCTATGGGATGCCTTAGATTATGAATGGTGCAATTTCAACATGTGCAGTAGTTTTCTGTGTATTTGTTTGTGGATTGTAATGGAAAATATTTCAAAACCAAGGCTGCACTGGAAAACGCAAGTTACTGAAACTGAATGTAAGTTGTGTTCACATTGCTGCTTTGTTCAAGAAGTGGGGTGGAAGCTGTTTGCATTTGGGCTGGCAAAAATCAAATGAAGCTGACTGTTTCTGACAATTCAAGAAACGCAGCAATCTGTACAAAAAAAGGAGCTCGTGCACGTTAAGTGTCACTGAGGGTGTAGATTTTTCATGCATTGGTGAGTTTTGTGCAACTGAATAATGTGTGCCTGTGAGTTGGGCTGTAATCTGATGGTTTTGGGACTGTGAAGTGTTTGCAGAAAAGATTTGAACACGCCGTTACAGCATCTTGCACCAGTGACTGCTGGATAGCATAAGCTACAGAAATCAAAACGGGAAGTGCTGGAGAAACTCTAGTTCTGGCAGCCT